AATTGTTTTACTCTTTAATCATTATAATTCAACAATGAGCTTGAAATAATAGATAGGTTACTACTACTTGAATCAGTGAATTTTGATAAATGATCTACATTCTTGTTATGCACCAATATCTATACATAACACGACGCCAAAAAACGTACATTCAATTTTGTACCTATCTTCAAATATTTGTACCTATCTTCTAATAATTGAAGTTATCTCCAAATGAATTTGAGTTAGGTATAATTGAATAAAAGATACATCTAAATGAACTGAAGATACGTGTAAGCATTTATACATATCTTAGTTTTAATTCTACATCTGAAAATCCAATTTATACTCATAGTTCACTTTCTAAGGATAAAATTCTTCAAAATACATTTCAATCTTTAATACTTTTAACATTCCAGTCAACAAAAGTGAATTCAATCTACCCTACTCATAATGGATTCATAAACTTCATAAAAATCCTTGCAAACAAATATATATTGCTGGGTCCAACAAATGTTCTACCAATCCCCTATCTTTACTCCTCACAAAAATATTAATTGTTTAAAAGAGAAACTTCTTATGTACTGTGCTACAGCATATTTGAGAAGGTGTGTAAACCAAATGTGGATTTTCTAAAACTTCAAAGAACTTTTAGAAAATTCAAATTTACAGGTTTTTTTTCAAAAGTCAGTAACATCAAAACGTATGACTTTTCTACAATTTATACAACCATTCCTCAGGATAAATTAAAAACTATAGGCTCTTTGATTAGACAAATGTTCCTTCAATAAAAATGGAACTCGGAATTTTTACCTTGTATTTGTTCATCTACAAAATTACTAAAAAAACACTCTGATACTACACACAAGTACTCTGGCGTTGATATTAAAAGGAGGCTGGATTTCCTCATTGAAAACATTTATGTAGTCTTCGTAGTAGTCACCGACTGAACTACATTTAATAACAAGGAAACGTTCATGTACTTTTAATTAATTACTAAGCGAGTGCTAATTACTCATTTTGAAAAGTTTGAAAATCCTGTGACAAAGACTTTTCCGACATAGGTTCTACCTTAAAAGAATACTGGAGTTCCTCACTGACAGCATCCGTGTAGTCTTTGGAGACTGTTGGAATTCTGTGGGCAGAAATTGTGCTCTTTTATTATTCGACCTGTTTTTATATTCCCGTGAAGCAGAATTTATTCAAAAAATTCTACATGAGAGAAGGAAAACACTTGCTGTGGCCTTCAACTCCACATTCAGATATATCGACGACGTTTTATCAATTAACAATAATTACTTCCATTGATATGTCGACTCGATATATCCCGGTGAACTCTACACAAAAGACACCGCTGAGACTGCCACATTTATTTCATATTTGGATGTTTTACTGATTGTAGACGATAAGGGACAACTAAACTGTATGACAAACAAGATGACTTCAGCTTTTCCATCGTTAAGTTTCCTTATTTATGTAGCAATAGCAATATTCCACAATCAACTGCGTATGGTATTAATGCCTTCCAACTTATTTGATACTCTAGAGCATGCTCTGAGTACGATCAATTCTTAAACCTAGTCAGGCTATTGAAAAATAAGTTGATGTTACGGGATTTCAACAATCTCGTTTAATGACAGCAATTTATAAATTCTATGGTCGTTATAATGACCTTGTTTGCAAATACAACCTATCATTGGATCCTATTTTGACTGGCAAATTTCAAACCTATTGTTAGATCATTGTATTTTAAACTTAATTTGACTACGGATTATCCCGTCTAGGTGATCAATATATGGGGCTCACGGCCAGTGTGACCGGTCGACATTCTGCCATGTCACAGATTGTATTGTTGTGGATTTTATGAGATCGATCACCGTTCGTAATCTTCACCTTTGTCATCTCTAAATAATTGAATCTAGGTTTAAATGACTCACGCCTATCTGTAATTGAATCAAAGAAATATTCATCTGAATTAAACCTATTTTTGAAGCAGTTGAAGAAAGCTACAATTAATTTAAAGATAGGCATAATTCATTTCAAGATATATTCAATAATTATGCATATGAATGATTGAACCTAGATTCATATGAATTACACATATCTGTAATTGAATTACACCTTTCCTTAATTCAATTACAGATAGGTTCAATTAAATTATATACCTATCTGAAAATGGTTTGAAGAGTTCAGTTCAATTTATTCTCTCAAACCAAAATATAGGTACATGGGGTACATTAATAATATATATACATTATATACAAAATGGTCAGAGGTACATATACAAAACAAAAAGCATGACATAAGATTGAAAAAAAATAAATAAGAGAGGGGAAATTATATCAAGGAGGACAGACAACATCCTAAATTTTTAGGATAAGCATACAGTTTTTTCCAGCACTTTTTCGTTTTGAGTTGACATTAATTCAATGAATTTAATAACATTGGTTTATGGGAATAATAATTGCCCAGGTAATTTTTTTCACATTAAGTAAAATTTTATATTCTAAGATATAATGAAATTCATCAGCAGTTTTAATATTATTACAAAGTGTACAGATTCTATCACACAGTGGTATACCATACCATCTTCCAGTCTCTACTGGTAGATGAGGATTTGCGGTGCAAAATTTTATAAATATTTTTTCTAAATTTAGGAGATAACATCAATATAATTTTCAAATCCAAAGTTTTGTTTAAAGATTCTATAAATATGTCCTTTTGAAGAATTATTTACCTCACTAGACCACTTTTGAATAAATTGATCTTGTAATATTTGTTTTACAGTAGCAGTTATCCATTTATAATTCATATTGACACCCTGTTCGTACCATACATTTGATATACAACACATATTTCATATTTTCTATATGTAATGTAACCATGGGTTTGTTAAATTTTCATCACAGTACAGTTTAAACATATATATATATATATATATACCGAGAAATACAGAGGGAAAGCGACCTGTTTCACCATAGACCATGTACAATGGCATGGAACTTTTCAAAATAAAAATATATGTACTTGAAAAACTTCAAGTGCAAACGTTCAATAATATCAAGATTTTCATATAGCCCCATACTTCAGAGCCCTATAATAAGACCGGTACCACAACTCTATCAAAAACATCAAATTGGCAGTCAACTGGTAATTTAAATTGTCTGATTTTTCTTAAAATGTCATACATCACTTTTTGTGCTTGTTCATATAACTGTTTTTTTGTTTTACAAAAAAACCTGTACCTTAAAGTAAAACGCCTAAATATTTAAATTCTTTAACACTTTCAATGACTAGGTTATCGTAATAAAATTTTCTTTTTAACATAGGACCCTTTGAAAATACTATGATCTTTGTTTTTTCGACATTCACTTTCAACTTCCATTGTAAACAATATGTCTGAAATTCGTTAATTGCATGTTGTAATTCATCGGCTGATAGATACATTTAATTTAAAGATAACATAGGTTCAATTAAAACGATTTGAAGATAGGTACAACTCAGTTATACCTAGGCTCAATTCAGTTCCACCTATCTTTAAATCAATTATACCTATCTTAAATTCTTGGTATTTTTACAATGTTCAATTCTATTATATCTGTTTTCAATTTAATTGTACTTATCTCCTGATAAATTAAAAATATGTATCATTAAATAAAACCATCTTCAATGCTTTTGAAGATAGGTGCAATTGATTTGAAGATAGGTTCGAATATTTGAAGATAGGTACAAATATTTGAATACTAGCATCTGTAAATTTGGCGTTCTGTATGGTACCGTCTTAATCTTAGGGACGGATCTATCAGAGAGGAAGGGAATTTACGTGGTGAAAATGATGACAGGTAAGTTGATTTAAAGTTAAACACACACACACACACACACACACACACACCAGAAATAAAATAAAATTCCCTTTTGTAAAATTTCACACTTTCCCTCATTCAGTTTTATGTTTCTTTCCTAAGTGTAAGTATCCTATTATCACAGACGTAGGGATGGTGTAACCAAACCTCAACATACTTCTGAGATTTTTTAAAGACACGGCAACTTAAAAAAATATATACGAATTCCTAGCACATCAAAATTCTTGTATATCAATTCCCATTTTGTTAACCTTTAGAGATTTCGTCTCTACCTGTACATGAAAATACTAGCTTGACAATCTCTAAAACTTGATAAAGAGAAAATAATACAAGATATCAGCATTTAGGTCTGATAGCATAGAAATTCATTTATATAACATTTATCTTAAATAAATAACATACGAAAATGGGTGTAAGGGTGAGGGGGGGGGGGGGGGTCGAGAGAGATTACATCATTCATTCTTTACTATGCTGTTATAGGAATTAATTTTTTTAAAATGATAAATATGAATATTTTTTTGTGACCAGAATGAAACTTTCATTGAAAACATCAGAAAAGTATGTTTACATGTCTATGTATCGTGAAGAGCTTATTTCGAGTAGATCACTGATCGGCACATTCACTTTCGTAAAATAAATCTCTATTTATTTTTTTTTTTAATTAACGATAGATGTTTGAACTTTTCCATATCTATATTTCATAAAACCAAAAACTGAAAATTGCAAAATTTTGCGTTTCTAAAATTAAAAGCACTTTATCACTTGATCTAATTCAAGGTTCAAAAGCTTCACCACAAACAGCTGATTTTTTACCCAATAAATGACGATTTTCGAAAATATTACTACGAACCCTAACGACATGCATCACCAACGTATAATGCTTCAGCCTGCTGCAGGGAGCCCATATATATATTTCCATATGAGTGACACAAGGAATATGTAATATTCTAAGGCTGGACGTTGAAGGGGCTCTAGTACTTAGTTTGGGTGTTATTCACGCATGAATTTATGGCTGAAAATCATGTCATTTTTCCGCTAAGTTCTACTCCTCCTCCAATTTATTTAAATAAGGCTATCTTTTTGCAATCAATTTCAATCGAATCTCTTTTGATATTGATCATTCAGAAATAAAGATAACGATGTACTATTGGTATGAAATCTTTATTTCTGAAATGTTCGCTTGTCCAACAATCCGTTACAAAGACTATTATCGCCAGTAGTAACAATATTGAAGAACGTGGTTACGTCCACCAGCTCCCAAGGGATACCATCCTCTGACAAGGTTCTTGTTTCTGGTGTCTTCGTCATCAGATTTTACGGTCTCCTCCCTGACGTGCATACCCGAAACTCGCTGACAATGTGCGCGGAATCTCAGTAGATAAAATGGTTTGCTGGTAGGCAGAGACATCTTGCTCCTATATGAACCATCTTTCCTTAATAGTGAATAGTAAGATGATATAAGCTTGTGATATATATGTTATCGTCGTTTGATTAAGATTTTAAGTTCAAATACATGCATTTACGAGTATTTCGAAAAATTGTAACATAAAGGTAACAAGAGACCCATGGGCCACAGCGCTCACGTGATCCCTGCTGTTTTTCAACAGATTTTTAATGATCTTTTTTCTTTTTTATGTAATTTTTTGAAACTTATATTGTGGTTCAACCCTAGCTCCAAGACATGCCTTGATCAAACTTGAACTTAAACAACATGGGGATGCTCCAACAATAATTTCATTAACTTGACCTTGCTTTTTTAACGAAAAACCCTGCATACATACCTTATCTAAAATTTAATTCCAAATTTTAGCCCGACCATGACCTGGAAGTCTTTTATTTGATACAAACTGAGTTTTCGCACAAATTCGTTATGTTTGCATTTATGTTTAAGTGTCGCCTGTCGCGCGTACTACTCTAGATGTTTAAAAAAATTACTAGGCCTATATACAGCTGTATTCTCACGTTAAACTTTGAATCCCTGTTTCAGCCCCACCAAAGCCCCAGGGTCAATGATTTGAACAAATCGCCGCCTTACTTGAAGAAGCTTTTTAACGCTGAAAATAAAAAAAAAATCTTCCTATACCTATACCAATGTAAAACTGATCCACTCTTTATACCCCAGGGGAAGGGGCTTGATTTGAACAAATTTGAATTTACACTGTGTCTGTCAGCTTCCACATAAGTTTTAATTTTCTTATAGAATATTTCACTATTTTTTAAATTATCTCCTCTTAGGATGGTTTGTATCTCTTCATATGAAAAAAAAACTTGATTCCCATCCATCTGCATGTTTGGTAAAGAAGTTGAAAATATATAAAAATAAAAAGTTTACAGACGGACAGACGTTGCCCGGACATTTTATGATCAGTATAGCTCACTTGAACCTTTGAACAGGTGAGCAAAAGAAGAAAAAGGTATAAATATTGAGTCACTACTAATAAGCAGATGATGTACTAACCGACAGCAGTAGTCAATGCGTGTGTTTCGGTCATAGGAACCACTGGGCAAAGTTCCACCGTGTGCGTTTTTGTTTGAATTGTCTTCATCGTCCCAATACACGCTTCCTTGACGAAAGTCTGAAAATAATGTTTAATTAGATAGTTTTTCCTAACATCAAATTATAATACAATATAACATATGATTTTTTGAAAGTTATATAGGGCAATCATAAAATTTTGATCTAATACTGGATTCTGTGGCCTTCCTCGACGTTAAAACTAATGTAAAGTGTTTTCAGCTATGATTTTTTTGGAGGGGGGGGGGGGATAGCTCCCTCAATGCAGCGTGATCTTCCTTGTTCATACTGGAAACACTGGGGTGTCATTTTGCAGTTTTATTTGTGATTGTTAACATTAAACTTACAAGGTATATCAAACTTACTCTTAAACATTTTCAATTTCTTTTAAGCTTTGCATACAAAAGATCTTACATCTTGGGCATGAATGTCCATGTTTCAGGATGCAATAGTTTCCCCTGGGCCAATATCTTCTGTTGCTGAATTGATGTTGGTTCTTCGTACAATATTGAAACCGCATATTTTTATCGAAACCACCTGAAATCGGATTAAAATTCAATTTTTCTCAATCTTTCTACCTGTAGTAATATCAAGTACATGTATTTGAAAATCTTTACAACACTTTTAATTGTCAAATTAATTTTTTGTCTCTTTTATGGTTCATAAAAAACAAAATTGCATTTTAGATCCTTTTTGTTCTTTCAAATACCGTTTAAATCTTCTTATGAATACCTGCAAAGTGGTGTCCTGGTGTGATAAAATTTGTGTTGTGTTTGTCTTCATTGTCTTGATATCTCCAACCCTCAAGCCAGCCTCTAGGACATCCAGATCTGGGTTTTACGAGGGTATATGTCCCCCGAGGCCAACTAACTGAAGAATTTTTTTAAGATAAGGTAATTTTTTTTTTATTAAAACCAGCATTAATCTCTCTCTCTCTATCTCTCTCTCTCTCTCTCTCTCTCTCTGAGGTAACACACCAAGGCAAAATTTGATTCAAAGTTTGAAATTCCTAAGCTTTGCATAGGTTGTGCATAGCATCATTATTTGGAGCCATTTTGTACATATACTTATCAAACTGAAAACAGTGTTAGAATAGTTGAGTGAAGAAGTGCAATTCAGCAATAAAAGGAATGCCAACATGAAAAAGTAACAGTGTCAACATTAAAAAAGTAACTGTTAATATATAAAGAAGTAAAAGTGTCAACATTTAAAAAAGTAACAGTGCCACAAACATTAAAAAAAAGTATAACAGTGCAAACATTAAAAACGTAACATAAAAAGAGTTACAGAGTCAACATAAAGAAAATTAAAGGTCCCTACATTAAAAGAAAGTACAGTCTTATCAACAATGAAAATTTCTACGGAACCACTCAGAGGAAAGGCCTTATAAGCTGACATTTCTACAATGTCTGGAGGATGGGAGAATAAAGTTTTAAAAAAGTCCAATTATCCCATTAATACAGGCATCTTTAAGCAAACAAGACAATGTACGTACCTTGTAAAGTGGAAGCAATCAGAGAGAAAATGACTGTAATGGCTATTAACGACATCTTTTCAGGTATTTTTCTGAAATGAAAATTTCTGAAAAGAATTTTTTTTAATTAGAGCAACAAATTATTACTAAATTTGAAAAGCCGAATATTCCAAATTTATCAAGTGATATAGATGTACATGTATACAATTTAAACTAATTTAGTGATTTTAGGAAATTGTTATTTGAATTTACAAATTGTCTTTTTTCATAAATACAGCTTGTAAAACTTTTTGTTCTTGGTTAAGGTAGTTAACTTTTGACATTGGATATGTCAAGGACTTTTTTTAGAAGTAAATTTCAGTTGTCTAGTCATCTAGTCATATAGCATAACCCGAAACCGGAAAATTTAGGGGTCAGTATGTATTCAGCATCTTATTAAGCTATGTTCCAAGTAACTTGAACTTTCTGCATTTAAATTGGAACTCTAGAATTAATCCTTTTAATTTCATACATATTTTACAAGTTGTAATAATGGCAAGGAATATGATTTTATTTCAGGAAAAATAAGTTACATAATGATAAAATATATCAATGAAAAATTCTAATTAATCTGCGTTGATAAAATTAATTGTGCATAATAGCCTGTAATTTAAAAAAAAAATTAAAAAGTTAAGAGTCAGTGCAGCAGTGTGTGAGATACGGGGCCAAAATGCTCACTTTTCAGGCTATTACAATGTTGATTTTTATCTGAATTTGCCACATAAATCAAAGAAAGTCAAACATACGTTCTAAATTTAAAAGCAACGTGAAGAAATTTGAAGATTTTCTGAATTTTTTTCTCAATATCCTCCCGCTATAGAAATAATAATCCTTCTTAAGGACAGATGATACAAACAAAACTAGAAGTACTGTGAGCAATGAGCTCACAAAATGATACCCCCCCCCCCCACTCCCATATGAGTTTAATAGCAAAGTCTATAGTTTTTTGCTGTAGGAAAGCCGAAATTCTGTCCGATCAAAACATTAACATTTAAAAACTTAATAATTTTCCTTGTATAAACTTGACTTGAGTTGTTATATTTAATTTTTTTGATGGAAGTTTGTGTCATCTGTTCTTAAATCATGCTTCTAGATAATTTTGCGAGCGAATTTTAATTGAATGTCGTATACTTTCCATAGTGTAAAAATGAAACTGATGCTTTTGATATCAAAGGTTCTGACCAAAACAGTTCTCAAAAGCTGAATGATACGTGAGATCAGTTTATCTTCATAGATTATCTTTTTTAAAAAAACCGGTCAAAGTGATTTTTCAAATATCAAAATTTTTTAGCAATGATTTGAATAAAGGGAAAAAATATTCTTTATTTGAAAAAAAAGTAATATTTTAAAGGAAATAATCAGAATAGAACAAGATAGATTAATGATGCAAGAACCTTGAAGACGGTGAGCGAAGATATAAGATAAAATACATAACACCTACCCAAGGATTGTCATCTGGCAAAATTATGGTTTCATTTAATTTATAAAGGTTTCAGCGTAAAAAAAAAAAACAGTTTGGTAACTCGATAACACAATGTGTTACGAAATGTAAATATTGTGAAACAGTGTGAATGAATACTAAATAACAAATGGCACATGATAAATAGCCAATGATACATGATAGCTAGTTTATCCGGGTATTTACAACTTCTGAATTGATGTTTTTAATTTATAGTTAGACCTTTCTCATGCCGTTGGATGCAGAGGTATTTTTCTTCATAAAGATGAACAAAAGGAGCACATTTTAAAACAAGAGGCCCATGGGCCACCTTGCTCACCTGAGCACTGTGGCTAGGAAAAAGCAACAAGAGGCTAAAGGGCCACATCGCCATCGATTTTCCTATATATTTCTATGTAAAAATTTGATCCCCCATTGTGGCTCCTCCCTATCCCAGTGGTCATCATTTGAACAAACTTGAATCTACACTACCTGAGGATGCTTCCATATAAATATGACTCATCATAGCTTTGCTGTTCTTGAGAAAAAGATTTTTGAAGATTTTTCCTATATATTTCTATGTAAAACTTTTATCCTCCATTGTGGCCCCGCCCTACCCCCGGGGGTCATGATTTGAACAAACTTGAATCTACACTATCTGAGGATGCTTCCATATAAATATGACTCATCATGGCTTTGCTGTTCTTCAGATGAAGATTTTTGAAGATTTTTCCTATATATTTCTATGTAAAACTTTGATCCTCCATTGTGGTCCCGCCCTACCCTCGGGGGTCATGAATTGAACAAATTTGAATCAACACTACCTGAGGATGCTTCCATATAAATATGACTCATCATGGCTTTGCTGTTCTTGAGAAGAAGATTTTTGAAGGTTTTTCCTATATATTTCTATGTAAAACTTTGATCCTCCATTGTGGCCCCACCCTACCCCCGGGGGTCATGAAATGAACAAACTCGAATCTACACTACCTGAGGATTCTTCCATATAAATATGACTCATCATGGCTTTGCTGTTCTTGAGAAGAAGATTTTTGAAGGTTTTTCCTATATATTTCTATGTCAAACTTTGATCCTTCATTGTGGCCCCGCCCTACCCCCTGGGGCTCATGATTTGAACAAACTCTACACTACCTGAGGATGCTTCCACATGACTTTCATCTTTCCTGGCCTTGTGGTTCTTGAGAAAAAGATGTTTTAAAGATGCTATTAATTTTTCACTAATTCTTTATTATCTCCCCTTGAATGAGGGCGTTGCCCTTCATTTGAACAAACTTGAATCATCTTTACGCAAGAGTACTTTGTGGCAAGTTTGGTTGAAATTGGCCCAGTGGTTCTTGAGAAGAAGTCGAAAATGTAAAAAGTTTACAGACAGACGGACGCCGGACAAAAAGTGATCAGAAAAGCTCACTTGAGCCTTCGGCTCAGGTGAGCTAAAAATTCATCAATTCATAACCATTTGACCTATCTATCTATCTATCTATCTATCTATCTATCTATCTATCTATCTATCTATCTATCTATCCATCCATCCATCCATCCATCCATTCCATGTACCTCCCTAGATAGGTATCATGTACCTCCCTAGATAGGAATCATTTCCATACTTTCTACTTTTTTCAAATATCCATTAAAAAGAGTGATTAGGGAGACAATCCATTGTAAGTTCTCTGTATTGTAAGTTAGGCCATTCCAAGTTTTTTCACACACAAATTAAAAGGGAAAAAATACAACAATTTAAGCACAATTCTAGAATTTCTTATCGTCCTTTGAGAATTCTCTTCGAATGGTAACTAAGTTAAACTACTAGTCAATTGAAACAAAACATTTTTGGTACACAGCTTAATAAAAAAGGGAGTTGCTGATCCCAGAAGAGTAAATTGCGTTTCAAAGATTTGTATTTGTCGATTTTAATTTGTGTTTGTTTTTGATTTCATAACCTCAAAACTAATCCGTCCACGGACGCTAAACATAGAAAAAACTTGGAATGGCCTTATTACACATGGCTTATAATAATACTTTCTAAATCTTGCCATTTTAATCCAAAAGTATTATTTATGAATATGAATAAACATATCCAAATCGTTACAATAAGAAATTTTAGTTTGAATTTTACATTCAAAGAAATCCCTTGAAATGTTCTATAGTTTAAATAGTATGGCATATTAAGCCAAAGTAGTTGTATCAATTTAACAAAGAAATCGCCGAAGAAGATTGGCAGGATTTTTAGGTAGTCGTTTATTTTTAACATGAAATAACTTATCAAATTTCCTCTTTTTTTCGGGAAATTTGACGATTTATTATGTCCTGTACATGTGTTACTTTTCCTCAAGTACCTTTTTGTGTTCCCCAAACGAAGTTTCGGAGCATATTTTTTTTTACTCCGTTTCTTCTTTTTCTTCTTATTATTATACAATCTTTAGAATATCGGAATTTTTTTTTCCCAATTTTTCAGCTCATATATTAGATTTTATCTTAAAATGCATTTTTTCCATTCCAATTTTGCGATATTTTTACAATATAAAAAATTAATTATATTTTTCTACGGAAATGCATAACGTAACAAATATTGAGTTATGAGTAAGGAATCAATTTATTGAAGCTCATAGAGAATGGTGCACCAAAATTAAAGGAAGTAGGGGAGCATTTGGGGAACATCTGTAACAGTCCCTGTAACAATTAGAACTAATTTGTAACGGGATATTGTACCATTTTAGGCACAGGTGGTCATTGATCAACCCTGAATTCGTCATATTTTTTGTCAAAAATTTGTTACTTATGTACAATGTATTAGTTTACTCTGGTTATTCAAAGAGACGAATTTTTTTTCTGTCTCCCTCTTTAAAAATATGACACTATTGCACAGATCTGATAAAAAATAAAGACGGGATTATCTAAATGAGAAAATCACTCACTAGTAAAAACATATTAAGTAATTATTATATGTTCAGATATACGTAATATTGACACACATTCTACATTTAATTTATTGAAAGAAACTTGAAAGTATACCACCAATTGTCTATGTCTTTTTTTCGTTGACCTCCCTTCGTTCTTTGTTTACGGGTATAATGTAAAGATTGCCCCCGAGAGCCAGATACATGAAGAGTCTAAACAGGAAAGGTCGTTTAATGCCAACATTTTATGCACGGTTTCATTACAGAGTTTACTGCTTGCTCACTCTCATTTGGGGGGGGGGGGGCATCCTGAAAATTAAACAAGTCTCAGTCTCAGTACTTTAAGCTCTTCTTTTTCTGTCTGGGCAATAGAAGGGTTTGGCTTGCCTATATCCAGCAGTAATTTGGGAGTCTCCCCAATCAATTGACGCCAATCTCGGAAGATAAGGTAAGATGTATCTGGTGAATTCAAATACAAAGACTGGCAAATTAAATTTTCTTTTAAAAAAAAATCAACTTATCAAAACATAATTTTCAATTATAACGTCATATTGTAAATACATTCAGGCTTTATATTTTTGAAGTGACAAATGCATTAAAAAAAATTCAGAATTTTTATTTGTAGAAATTCATTTAAAAAAAAAGAAGGAAATATTATTACATTTTCAAAAACTTTCTGAAATTCAAAATCAAAAGAAATTGTAGTTTTTTTTTTTATCTTTTAGACTAGTGGGAATATAAATGATTAAATCTAAACCTCGATTGATTTTGTTCTCTTGTATATGTGAAAAAATAACTTTTTATTGTTATTTGACATTACTTGCATCAATTCTGATTTGAAAAGTTTTAATAGCAAAGAAATATGCTGCAATAAATTTCCCCCAAATTCTTTTTTTGGTGAATTTAGTCAATTTCTCAAATCTAAGTCAAAAAAGAAGTTCTGATAAAGTAAGTTTTCTTATAAAAAATACTAGATTTTTATGTAATCCTATTTTACCTTATGTTGTTACACTCCTGGCATCTAGAAGATTTTTTTTTTTTTTTTTTTTTTTTTTTTTTTTTTTAAATGAAACATTAATTGTCTTAAAAAAAATTAACACAAAATATCTCATTCAAATTTTGTAAAACAGATTGTCGTTGATATTTTTTTCATTTCAGGAAATCTTTTTTAAATTTCATTGACTCCAAAATATGCTTATTTGCTTATGTAATATATATTAGTAAAATATATTTTTAGTGATGATAAGTATTCTGTGAATTTACCTAAAAATGTCCAGAAATGTCTGAATTGTTGATATACATAATGATTTAACTACAAATAGTATTAAGCAATTTCTGCAATTTAATTTAAAAACAACAGAATGCAAAAATCAATAAGCGTTCTGGTAACATCAAGTTGTAATGAAATTATGAATTATTTATAGTCCAATACTTCATGGTTGAAAAAAGCACAAAATAGCTTAAACTTGTCTAGATATCACAAATTAAATATATTTCCTAGTAATGTTCCAAAACTAGTTTAAGATATACATGTATTTAGAAGAAAAAGGTCGAGTTGAAGACCACAGCAAGTTTTTTATATATTAAATTCTGCTTCATATGAATAAAAAAAATAGGTCTGCTAATAACGGGGAGCAATTGGTACCCAAAAAAGCAACAACAACAAAATTATGCACTGATAAAAGTTTTTCCATCTTTGGGAGCAAAGCATCAAATGCTGCACTTCTGACATAAATGGATATGCACAGATACTTGACGCATATTTATGCTGCTTATCATTCATATAACATTTATAACTTTTAAATGGTGTATTAGTTATTGATTTACACTTTGACAATTCTTTTTTTGACTTACTTGTCATACGGATTTTTAATATTTATTTTTTTTGGGGGGGGGGGAGGGGGGCATCATTATATTTTTTCTGTTGCACTCCTGATATTGTATAACATTTTTTCATCATATCATCCGTGACCATAACTTGGTCAAGCAAAGTGTTCTACAGTCTAAATTTTAAGTTCAATATATTGAATTTTATCAGGAAAAATCTTTATTTCTAAAATAAAAATCAAAATCATTTATTTAACAGCTCTTCCAATATGAAATTTTCAAAATGTCTCAAAAAGGTGTTGCACTCCTCACATTTTTAGCATCATTTTTGGGCATAGCTTTTTTGTGTCTTAAGATATCAATGAAATATTTGGTAGACATTTAGCCATGTTGAGCAAAAGAAATTTATTCATATAGCCTGCTTTTAAGTGTAGGTTGAGTCCGGGCATTTTTTATTCCACCCCATTCTCTTCTTGTTTTTGATTTGCAAAACCAGACATGAGGTGGGGTGAGATGTATATAGGTATGTATGAACTTCGTGGTCTCTGCCCCCCCCCCCCCCTCCTCTGCTGAGGCGCGAGACCAAAACCATGAAAATAAAAGCAATCTTCATAAATGCTATTATTCATTTCTGAATACAAGCAGCAAAACTGTTGGCGTGATTGTTATATGCATTGAGCCCTCTACCAAAATTGTGAAATTCATGGACCAAAGGTCAGAGATTTTAAGGTTCCATAGTTAGAATAGTCTAACTGTGTCTTGGTACATGTGCAAGCCCTCACCAAGGTAGAAAATGAAAATGACTTTGAGGCCAAAAGGTCAACCACATAAATTCATTCATTCTGTTTCTGTATAATACTTTCGTTTCCGGGCGATATCTTTAAAAGTCCTTGAGCCTCAGAAAGGAGATGGGTGAACATGACGAGCGATAAGCCTATAGTGTGACAAACATGAAGATGAAAAATTAAATTTCAATTATATCAAAATTTTCCTTGATATTTCGTCTAACATTAAAATATACTTTATGTAAAATCTCTACAATTTGCAAAATCCCTCAAAGAGTAAAATTATTTCCTGTGAAATATTAGACACACACCAAAGCGAGCAAAAAGAGTCATTTTCTCATACTATAACACTATTTTTCGATATGAGTTGGTCTTCGCTCCACCTTTTTGAAAGTTAATCCTCAAAGTTTGCATAAAAATATACATTTTTTGGTTACCAAAAATATGGAGCAATGACCCACTATACCTTAAAAATATATTTTTATGACATAACATTCGTATCTTTTCGAAAAATACTTGAAGTCCATTAAGTCACAAACATGATTTAAATGCCACTCTTCATCAGGACTTGTGTAGTCTAGTGGTTAGCGTGCTAGTCTCGAAAGAAAATGATACTCAGGGTTTTTATTGCTAGGGTTCGAACCCCACGAATACCACATTAATTTTTTTTGATAAAAAAATAGATTTTGCCGAGAAAATTGTCCTCAGAAAAGTTTTGTTTCTCATAATTTCTTGAATTTCAATAATGAGACGGTAATAATTGTCAAAATTCACAAACTGAACATGATTTATATATATCTGAAGCTATAGGCTTTCTGCACGCTATGTTCGCCCATCTCCTTAAATTTAAATATCAAAACTCCTTATGACCTAAGCCCCCTATTGATTTTGAGGTCAAAAGGTCAAAGGTCAAGGTAAAAATTTATAGGTACATTACAGATAACATTTTCCAGATGGTAACTTTAGTCTTCTTTGAGCTTTCTTCATTAAAATTTTATATCACAACGCCTTCAGACGTAAAGAAGACCCCATCGATTTGAGGCCAAGGTCATAATTCATACATTCTGTTGTGTGTAAGTCTTTCGATTCCGGACGATAACTTAAAAAGTCTTTGAGCTTTTGAAATGCAGTTATCTATCACAACTCCTTTTAGCCTAAAGAAGACCCCTTTTGATTTTGAGGTCAAAAGATCAAAGGTCATAAATTCATACATCGAATATAATATTTTCCAGATAACAACTTCAGTTTTCTTTGAGCTTTCTCCGATAAAAATTAATATCACAACTCCCTATGGCCCAAAGAAGAATCAATTTTGAAGTCAAAAGGTCGGAAGTCTTAAATTCATACATTTTGTCTGCGTAACACTTTCTTTTCAAACTATATCCTAAAAAGTCTTTTAGATGTTGCAATGAAATTTTACATCTCAAATTAAGTGCATAAATATGATGAGCAAAAGTTATGAAATTCATGATCCCTGGGTCAGGGGTTCTGATGTTAAGGGTGTGTTCTATTGTTCGTATAGTGGGAATGCACTAATTCTTCAAAAATCTTCTCTGCTCGAGAGTATTTAGCTGACAAAATATGTGCATGATTTCGAGCAAGGGTTTTCAGCTTTTCATTTTCAACCATTTTCAGCTTCAATCTAACAGGATCAAAATCATATTAAAGTTGTTACTTTGTTTTGGCCTTTTGAATAATGATAACAATCTAACTGCAGCATAACTATATTTATTTTCAGCTTTATGACTGTCTCACTGTGTATTACCATTACACTTTATGGACTGTAATAGCAGTAGTGCAAGTTTTGGTCACGACCACCAGCTCCTAGGGGATACCACCCACTGACAGTGTTCCTGTTATTCGAGTCCTCGTCATCGAAGTGTACGATCTCTTCTCTTACATACATTTCCTGAACCCGCTCACAAAGTGAGCGGAATCTCAGAAGGTAAAATGGTTTATTGGTTGGAAGTATGATTCTATTTCTGAATGAACCATCGTTTCTAAAAAAAGAAAAAGTAATATTATGTTGGTATGTGTTTTGTGACTATGTACAAATTTTATCTAAAAAGTCAGAGTTTTACGTTTCAATGTTCTGTAAAACTTTGGAAGTAAGTTTTAAAGATTTGATATATACAAAGTTTAGATGAAAGTCGAAAAACCGATGGCAGACTTAATACTGATAAGATATCGTGTGGTGGCAGAGGATAGTTTTTTTTAATGCCAAACATGTGCCGAGGGGGTATACATATACATGCGATCCATAAAAACATGTACATGGGGACAGTTTTCCAGGGGCTAATTAATTACACTTCATATGCCCATGGCTCACAAATTATGTCAACAAATTACATGTAATCTGCGTATTAGAGTGCACATTTACCAAAAATGCACCTGGGGACTCCCCACATTTTGGCTTGTTTTTCCAAGATTTAATTGGGCCTCATTCACACCCATACAACCCACCCCCAGGCCCGAGCGAGCAGGATAAAACTCCCAGTAGTCTGTAAATCAATGCAAGCCCTAATAAAAATTCACCAATTGATATGGAGTCATTCACCTTCCCTCTGAGATACACACCTTCTTCTAAGGCCTACTGCTTTTCAGCTGAATTTCCTCTGCAACTGACCACGTGTCTTAGTTTCGCATTTACAACTCTGTATATGATAAGCGTCATAGTGACACCTACATGTTGCACATCATTTTTTTCAGCAAGCACTCTGCTACACTGCAAATGTGTCCCATAATTATCCTAATCATTTTTCTACATAAAATATCACATCAAACAGGGGATATCTCAATTTTTAAAGAAATTTGACGGGTCTTTAGTACGAAACTATCCCCTGCCACCTGTACTTTTTAAAACATTAGGTACATTTTATTTGACACCAAATCCTTACTGTATGTGAAACTTTCTGATCAACACCCGACACAGATATATTTATCATTTGCGACCAATATTCATAAATTTGGCAAAAATCATTCAACAAGAGACCCATGAGGCATAACGCTGTCATGAGTTACACTGGTCCTGTAGATCTTCATCACAAAATTAAAAAAAAATTATTGACATGAAAAGTTTTAACATATAATGTGGTCCAACCCTAGCTTGAAGGGCCATGGCATTACCTTACTTGAATGAACACATCCTCGGGATGCTTCAATATCACTATGACTAGCATAACTTCGCTGTTCTGTTGAAGTAAAAATGCACTAAATGAAAACTGCTTCTTGATTTTAGCCTTTCTTTGACTCCAGGATCTTTTTTTTTTGAAGAAAGAAATTAAATCCACACAACTTTTGAATGTTTCCATTTGAATGCCGTTTAGTTCAGCCCTGCTTTTTTGAATGTTTTTCTTAATTTCCTTTTAAATTACAGAGCCTTATTGTGGTCCGACCTTCCAACGGGGGGTATGATTAAACAATGTTGAATCTGCACTACACGTGAATGCGTGAATATTGTTATCACTTACCGAGTATCATGACCCTGCTGTTCGTAAAATATTTTAGAACATTTTCCTGATTATATTCTAATGCATAACTCTAATCTTCCATTTTGGCTCCTCCCTTCCCAAAGGGCGATGATTTTCACAAGCTTGAATCTGCATTATCTAAGGATGCTCATGTTAAACTTTCATTACCCACCTTATTCCCAAGAATAAAAAGAAATATGCACTTCCTTGGGATGCTTGCAGTTTAACATTACTTATCATATCAATATATTCTTATGTAAAACTCTGATTACCCATCCCACCCCAATGGCGTATGATTAGAACAAAACTCAATCTTCACTATGCCGGATAGCTTTCAGTAAGTTTCATCTTTTCTGGTCCAGTTGTTCTTGACAAAAAGATTTTCAATGAAATATATGGAGATAACGAACAGTATTGAAGCTCAAAAGTCCATTAAACAATACAAAATAGGAGCAGAGCAAACACGGATCTCCAAAACATCAGAGGTGGGATCAGGTGCCATGAAGGAGTGAGCATCTCCTGCCGACCGGTCACACCTTGTGCTCCTTGTCATGATCGGGAAATAACGGAAAAATCCGTCGACAATTCAGAGTGTAAATAATGGCCTAACAATGAGTATGAAAAACGTCAGTCAGCATTTGACTCATTGATAAACTGTATTTGCTGACAAGGTCATGGTATCGACCATAGAACTTACGAAATGATGACTTTAAACGAGACTTCTGATACTCTTGTTTCATCAACTTGTTTGTCAATAATTTACCTCGTTTTAGAAATGTACATACGTAGAGCATGCTCTTGCGTATCGAATCAAATGAACCTTCCCAATTTTCTAAAGTTATCTCCCCTTGAAAAAAAGCATGACCGTTCATATGAACAAGCTTGAATCCCATTTATCCAAGGATGCTTTGTGGAAAGTTTGATTGAAATTCGTCCAGTGGTTCTAAAAAAGATAAATATGTGAAATCTTTATGATGAAGCCAACGATACGCCGAAACGCACGAATTTCGATCAGAAAAGCTCACTTAAGCCTTTAGCTCAAGTGAGCTAAAAACGAGTCAACATAAAATAATCTTAAGAAAACATTGTATTATGTCATAAAAGATAAAAAGAAATCTGCGATTCCTTGGGATGCTTGCAGTTTAACATCATTGATCATGGCCCTTCAGTGTTCTTGAGAAGATTTCAAGACTATTCCCCCAAATATTCCCATGTAAAACTTTGATTCCCTATTTTGGTCCCACCATACTCCCAGGGTATGATTTGAACAAACTTGTATCTGCACTACCTGAGGATGATTGCATTTTAGTATTACTAATTATGGCCCTCTTGTTCATGAGAAGAATATTTGAAAATGTTTTCCCCCATATATTCTTATGTAATTTACGACGATGCATGGCTACATGTACCGACAACAGTAGTTAATTAGTGTATCCCTTGTAAAGGAACCGCTGGGCAAGGTTCCTTCCTGTCTGTTGGAGTTTTTTTCATCTTCATCATCCCAAAAAACACTTCCTTGATGAAAAACCTGAGGAAAATACAAACATTTATGAACAGATATTTTTGTTATGCTAATGTATTTACACCTACTTATGTATATTATTACCAGGCTTGGGTTAATGCTGAATATAATGGTAAAACATTGCAATATATTACTTAAAATTAAATTAATGCTAGTAATGTGCAATGCCAAAAAACTGTAGTACAAATGAAATGTTATGTTATGCATTACTTTCTAAAATGTAGAGTAATGTTGACATTACACACCATTACAATGCATTATTTTGTGTCTACCTATTTTTTTTTTTTATTGAATTACGAATGGGCATGGAAACTCTTAACGTCAGAGACACGTTCCTCAATAATATATAATTTTTTCCCAAGAGTTTGTCATTGAAATACTGCTACTTAAATAAGTTTCCTCACAAAGAATTAAGGTACCTTACCAGACATTTGTGCAAGATACCAGAGGATGGTATTTACTATTTACTATATAATCCTATTAGAAATCACTACCACTGCACATACTAGTATACAATTTTTTGGTGTCTTATCTGCTTAGACATTTTGAACAGTTTAAAAATCACAAGATAATTATGATTTATTTGTTATATATTACAAAGAGATACAAAACAGATATTAGATCAACGTGTCAGTTGACCTTAAGATTGAGTAAATTTAAGCCATTGAAATAAACCAAAGTAAATATTTATAATATTTCGTCTAAATTAAACATTTAAATTTAATAATTTTCTAGATAAACGGATATAATTTCAAAGAATATTCAATGGATTTAATTTTTTTTAAAAAAATCATGCATGAGATAACTATTTTTAGTAGACTGTAAACTGCTAATTGCTACCTAAAGAATCAAGGGTTAGTTTTAATTCTACGTCAGGAAATCCAGCTTTTACTTATAGTTCACTTTCTAAGTCATATTTCTGCGTTTGATACTTTTAACATTCCAGTCAACCAAGGTGAGTTTGATCAACTCCACCTATACGGGATTCCTAAGCTCAAAAAAAAAATTCTTACAAAGAAAGATACATTGTGGGTCCAGCAAATACTCTACCAAGCCCTTATCTTTACTAATGACTAAAATATTAACTGCTGTAAAGGAGATACTTCAGGGACACTGAAGTACAGAATTCAGCATATTCTAGAAGTTATGTAAATCAGATGTGGATTCAAAAACTTCAAAAAACTTTTGGAAAACTCTAAATCATCAATTTTTTTCTTCAGTCTAACATCAAAATGTATGACTCTTCAACACTTTATACAACCATTTCTCACTCGGAAATTTTCGTATCTTGCGATTTATCATCAACAAAATTACTTTGTCAAAAATCACACAAAAAAGACAAAAAAAGACAAAAACAAGAAACCAGCCAACAAACAAACAAACAAAAAACCCTCTGAAGTTGATATTAAAAAGATGTTGGAGTTCTTCATTAAATTTATGTAGTCTTCGGAGACCAGGTCTTCTAACAAACTGTTGGAATTGCTATGGGCACTAATTGTGCTCTTTTATATGCCGACTTGTTTTTATCTTCCTGTGAAGCAGAATTTATTCAAAAACCTACATGAGAAGAAGACACTTGCTGTGGCCTCCAACTCGACATTCAAATGTATCAACGACGTTTCATCCATTAACTTTCCATTCATATGTCGACTCGATATATCCTAGGTAAACTCGAGATAAAAGACACTACAGACTCTACCACATCTCTTTCATATTTGGCTGTTTTTTACTTTATATAACGGCCAAATAACAATTAAATTGTATGGCAAACGAGATGGCTTCAGCTTTTCCATCGTTAACTTTCCTTATTTATGTACCAATATTCCTTATCACGTGTGTATGGTGTTTTTGTCTCCCAACTTATTCGTTACTCAAGAGCATACTCTGAGTACGACCATTTTTTAAAACAGAGGCAGGCTACTGACAGACAAGTTGATGTTACAAGCTTTAAGTCAACATTTCGTAAATTCTATGGTCGTTATAATGACCTTGTTAACAAATATAACCTATCATTGGGTCGTATTCCGGCTGGCATGTTTCATACAAATTGCTAGGCCCTTGTTTTTATACTGGAATGTTCCATCTATCATATTCATACATAGGGCTCACCACGGGTGTGATCGGTCAACAGACGATGCTTATTCCTTCTACGAAAGGAACCTGATCCCACCTCTAGAATTTTCAGGGATCCGTTCCTTATGCCCTATTCAAGGAGTTGTATTGTTTGTAGATTTTTTTTAGATCGATCAAAGTTCGTTATCTTTACCTTTCTCATAATATGGCCAGTACGAAATTTATTATGTCACAAGTACATTTCCCTAAAAAATCTAATTTGAAACTAATCATGCATACACTATCATATTTTTTTTTCAAATTTGTAGTACTTACCTTCGGGACATGACGGTCCATTTCTCATAATGCAGTAGTTTCCTTTTGACCATTGTTTTGTGCTTGTTGATCGATGTGGGTCCATAGTGCAATAGTGAAACTGCATATCTCTATCAAACTTACCTAAATTGGACGTTTTAAATGTATATTTCTGACTATTTCTAAAGACATACAAAACTGAAATGCTTAGAAATGTTTATATGAACTATAACTTTTTAAAAAGTATTTTATACACATATATGTATAGATGTGCTATGTATGAATATGCTTTATTCAACTTACCAGCAAAGTGGTGGAGACGTGTTATATGATTTCTGTTGTTGGTGTCTTCATTGTCTTGTTTTCTCCACCCCTCATACCAGCCACTGGGACATCCAGCTGTTGGTTTCACGAGTGAATATGTCCCTTGGGGCCATTGAACTAAAATTAATTAACTAAAATTAGAAAAATTGAAATAAAAATAAACCTTTTTGTCCCCCGCTTTCACTGAAAGTGGGGGATATTAATTTGGGTCTGTCTGTCCGTCCGTCCGTCTGTATTTCTGTCTGTCTGTAACACTTTCGTTTCCGCGCGATATCTCGAGAACCCTTTACGCTTTCGCAATGAAATTTTGCATAGCAACTCCCTATAGACTAAAGAAGAACCCTATTAATTTTGAGGTCAAAAGGTCAAGGTCATAAATTAATAATTTCTGTCTATTTCAACACTTTCGTTTCCGCGCGATATCTCACGAATTCTTTAAGCTTTTGCAATGAAAATTTACATAACAACTCCCTGTGGCCTAAGGAAGACATCTATTGATTTTGAGGTCAAAAGGTCAAAGTTCAAGGGCGTAAATTTACAAATTCCATCCGTGTGTAACAATTTCGTTTCCGGGCGATATCTCAAAAATCTTTAGAGCTTTTGCAAAGAAATTTTATACCATAACTCCCTATGGCATCTCTCGCCCCTCTCAAAGTGTCCCGCCCCGTTTTTTTTTATTTATTGTATATTAAAAGTCGCTTGGCACTATTTTTAGCACAGGGGCATGTGGAGAGTTATTACGTATAATACAGGTTGTCGGCCGACTTTATATTCTAATTACATCTATTAGAACTGTTTAGTAACGGCTAGATTAGACAATATGTATAGTGTAAAATTTTGACAATATCGAACGTGAATATCAACATTATATGTGACCTAATGTTTGCATTTAATCAGACTTAACTCAATATGAGTTAAGTCATATCATGGAAATGAGTAGATCAAGTTCTTGTTACATAGTCAAAGAAGCATTTAACTCTTACAACATTATCATTACTGACTTTTGACACTTTTGAAATAATTTGCTGTATAATCAAGTGCCTCCGTGGTCTAGGGGTATGACTTAGCAAGCGAGAGGCCCGGGTTCAAATCCCGGACAATCCAATTTTTGTTGATTTTTTTTTTATTTTGGATTTACTAAATGATACTATTCAACATGTGAAATGAGAAAGTTATGACATCTGGCGTGTACAAACTCATAAAATCATTATTACAGTGTGATAAATATTCTATATATTAAAAAGAATCTTCTATACACATATTAAAGAATAAGCAATCAAATCTTTATGTCCATATTTGCATTTTTTATTTGCTTCAAAATACATGTATACATTTAATAATTCTACAAATCCAAGGGGGGGGGGGATTCCAACCCCCCCCCCCCGGAACTGCGCATGCTCTTCTTTTTTCCTTAAGCGGGGGACACAAATTCTCTGAATTAGCTTGTTAAAAATTGAGATAAGATTAACCTTATTTATACAAGACATGACATCAGAGGCCTTAGGTTTCTTGAATATGCATCCTGATAGAAGAGAAATACCTGTACGTGTTATTCTGTAAGAACCAATACGATGTATTTATGATTGCGTTAAGAAAGAAAATTTATTAGATCTGTTGGGTAATATTATTATGATAGTGTTATATTTTTCAAATTGAAAGGGCGGACTCAGGATTATTATTTTTTTTTTTTTTTTTTTTTTTGGAAAGACGGAGGTTTCTGCCCAGTTATAAGAGGCCGAAAAAGTTGGAGGGGAACTATTCATAAAAAAACATTTTGAGAAGGTAGATAACATTGTAGGATGGAACACAATTCTAAATTTGCTTCTTATTGTCATGTTTCTAAAACGAGGTAAATAAGTTGATTACACGAGGACATCAACAGAAAAATGGAAGTCGTAAATTTGCATTCCTTGCCACGGGTCATCTGCAAAATCATTTTGTTGAAAAGCTTTCTGATTGTTCACAAAAGTACTCCGAAGCTGATACTGAAAAGATGCTCGAGTTTCCAACAGTCTGTTGGAATTCCCATGAGTACTAATTGCGCCCCGTTATTAGCAGACCTATTTTTGTACTTATGAAGCAGAATTTATTTTAAAACTTCTACACGAAAAGAAGAAGACTCAGACTTATTTCGATCACGTTTTATCAATTAACAATATTCATTTTCATTCCTTATTGATTCGACATATCCCTTTGAACTTGATATAACAGACACAACAAAGTCTGACACATCTGTCTCCTATTTGGATTTTTTTTCTAGAAAAAGATTGATTGATTGATTATATATTCTTAAACGTCCTATTTGAGAATTTTTCACTCATATCGAGACGTCACCGTATGCCGGTGAAGGGCTTCAAATTTAGACCTATACTCCTCAGGGCCATTGAGCAGTTAGGGTTCTTTATCGTACCAACGTCTACCGTGACACGGAACCTCGATTTTTAAGGTCTCATTCGAAAGACCCGTAACTTTTACTTCTAGTGCCGGGCGGTTGGCGAAGAAACAGTCACTACCTATGTCTTAGGTTTGACGCGGTGCGGCAAACGAGAATCGAACCCGGGATTTCCCGATCACGAAGCGAACGCCATTCTACTAGGCTACCGTGACCGGTACTAGAAAAAGACATTTATGGCAAACTAACAACAAAACTTTATGATAAACTTGATGATACTTTTCTATCAATTCCCTTATTTATGTAGCAATTCACCCTTATCACCTGGATATGGAGTTTTATGCCTCCCAGTTGATTTGATACACAAGAACGTGTTCTATATACGAACAATTTCTAAAATGAGACAAATAAATTGATGATACAGGGATATCAACAGTCTCGTTTACAGTCAACATTTCGCAAATTCTATGGTCGATACAATGGCCTGGTTAGCAAATACAATCTTTCATTAATTCGAATGATGATTGACGTTTTTCATACAAATTGTTAGACCATTATTTTCCAACTGAATTTGTTTAGTACGGACTTTTCCGTTTGCCAAATCATGATAAGGAGGACACGCTGAATGCATGTGAATTGTCGACCGGTGAAGCTTACTCTTCTTTGGCGCCGGATCCCACCTCTGATTTTTTTACAGGTCCGTTAATGCTCTCCTTCCAACTTGTATTGTTCCGGGGATCGTTTGGGCTTGATTGTTATGCCCCCGTATTGAAGATTCGGGGTATATAGATTTTGCCCTGTCCGTCCGTCTGTCTAGCTGTCTGTTTGTCCGCAAAAACTTTAACCTTGGCTATAACTTTTGAACAGTTGGTGCTTGGGATTTCATATTTAATATGTCTATATGTCTATATATATATATATATATATATATATATATATATATATATATATATATATATATATATATATATATATATATATATATATATATATATTTCTTGTGAGAAGACCTTCCTTTGGATACCAACCACTTTGACCCTTTGACCTTGACCTAGGAGTTTCACCTATGTTTGAAAAACTTTAACCTTGGATATAACTTTTGAATGGTTGGTGCTAGGCTTTCATACTTCACAAATGTAATCCTTGTGACAAGGCCTTTTTTGGATACCAACCACTTTGACCTTGACCTTGGAAATTGACCTACTTTTGAAAAACTTTAACCTTGGCCATGACTTTTGAATGGTTGGTGCTAGGGTTTTCATACTTCACATATGTAATCCTTGTGACAAGGCCTTTCATTGGATACCAACCTCTTTGACCCTTTGATCTTGACCTAGGAGTTTGACCTACTTTCGAAAAACTTTAACCATATTCATGGCCATAACTTTTGAATGGTTGGTGCTAGGGCTTTCATACTTCATATATATAATCCTTGTGACAAGACCTTCCTTTGGATACCAACACTTTTGACCCTTTGACCTTGGAGTTTGACCTACTTTTGAAAAACTTTAATCTTGGCCATACCTTTAAAACATTTGGAGCTACGGCTTTCATACTTCACATGTGCATTCCTTGGGACAAGACTTTCCATTGGATACCAATAATTTTGGCATTGATCTTGACCTTGGATTTGACCTTCTTTTAAAAAACTTTAACCTTGGCCATAACATGTGAACGTTTTGTTGTAGGGCTTTCACATTTCACAAATATGTGTATCACTTGTGACAAGACCTTCCCTTGGGCCCCATTTGACCTTGACGTTTTACTTACTTTTAAAATCTTTAACCTTCGCCATAACTTTTGAACAGTTAGAGCTAGGGCTTTCAAATTTCACAGGTATATTCCTCGAGACAAAATCTTTCTTTGGGTACCAACATTTTTGATCTCTTGACCTGGAGTTTGACTTGCATTTGAGAAACTTTAATCTTCGCCATAAGCTGCTTTACGGGGGAATCAGTGTTTCACAAACACATCTTGTTGTTTGTTATCTTTATATTTCATAAAAGGTTGTAACTATAAACATACCTTGCAAAGTCGGAACAAGCAGAAAGGATATAAATATAACCAAAGTTGACATCTTGAAGTTGTGTTAGTCTGTAATAACAAAGAAAATATATCGAAGTCATTACTTTGTAATTACAAGGAAAATATATCAATGTCACAAATCAAAATAAATCCAATTCCATATCTAAGTTAAAGTTAATTCAGTCAGATATTATCCCTATATAATATTTTTAGAGGTGGAAACATGTTTATAAAATTTATTTCGTGTTAATTTTTTTTAAGACCTTAGGAAAGTTAACAAACGTTCAATTCGATTGAAAAAAAGGTGGTCCCTCATTACTAATAAATTAGTGTTGACTATTTATTGTCATGAACACTCTTATCATGCATATGCATTAAATGAAAAAAATGTGTTTTTAGCCTTATTAAATTGATAATAATGCATATTGGGAAATAATCTGATTTAATTAATGCGTAATGCATATTGCTATATTATTTAAACTTTCAAGTATACTTTTACATAAGTACCTGCTGACCTTCACCTTTTTATTGTGGCTTCCGTAGAATAAAGAGCCCCAAAAGTTAGTTTTTTTATTCTACCACATTGATAATAACGCAAAAAATACATATTGTATATGAGATTTCATGCCAAATTGGTACATGTACATTAAAATGTTTCTTTCTTTTAATAAGCAAAAGAAATATATAAATTATTAA